CACATTCTGGCATAGTTCTTTCATGCCTTTGTCTATTTAGTTAAACTTACTTAAGAAAAGCACACTGGTAGTTATGTGGAACAGTGGTGCAGAGCAATGAAACACTAATTCCAACAAGTGCCCTTTGACCTAAACAGGACACGTTAATGGGCGACTAAACTGGGTGAGCAGAAACATCTAAACCCATTCAGAGAACAGAAGATAGTAGAACCTAGAAAGAGGTCAACCCTGTGAAACTGCTCCGGTGTGACAGAGTACGGCAGCCCCCTGGGGACACAAGACAAACACAGAGAGTGCATGCTTAAACACAGCATCACAGGGATGAGGCAAAGGTCAGCGCTGACAGGTGGCTGGAGACAACATCACACTCTTCCTCTCCGCCATTTATCTGAAATTCTTGCTGCATCCGAGGCTGCGTAGCTTGACAGGCTGTGTGTTTGTGCATAAGTCTGTGTGGAGCAGATGTTTAGAGTGTGTGAGTAGGCGAGCACTGAATGCTTGCATTTGTGCATCTGACAACACAGGTAAACCCAACTGTAGTTATAACCCAATTTCCTACCATAACTCACAATTCTTAACCTTTAATTCAATTCAAAATTTTAAGTTATTTAATCTCAAATTTTCGCAAGTTAAAAATGAAATCATCCTCAAGTTGTGTAATCACGTTTACACACACTACTTACTAGCCTTTTACATTTACAAAAACTTGGATTAGGAATTTATTTTTGTTTTTCCTATCCGTGGCAAGCATTTTCAGACATGTCTTGGCAATTTACAGCCACCATGCAACTGAAAAAAAAACATACAAAAATGTCACACTCATTGTGCAAAGACATTTAATATTGTCTCTTGCTCTAATACTTGCCTTTTTACCACCTATTTATAAATTCCAAACCCAGCCCTAATATCTAAATATTGAATTACCTTCAAATCCCATTCTATCCTGGTCTAATTTCAATTAAACCATATGCTGATACTATGAAAAAAACAACAACCATATGGCTAAGTATTCCATTCATTACATCACTGCATAGCTTAACTGGTTATATGTGCTCTTATAAATGTTACCATGCACCTCATAATCCAAGTTGACATAAAACATAATTGTCTATATTGTTAATGGCTAAAAATTTTTACATTTTTAGAAATAAAAGTTTATTCACTAGATATTTTTATTAGGTCACCTGTTGATTGTTAATACAAATCCAAACACACAGCAGTAACTCAATGCATTTAGGCCTGTTGACATGAGAAATAGATCTGCTGTGGTACGAAAGGGTAAGAAAGGTGATTTAAATAAGAAGAGCATCTCTGAACGAACAACACTTTAAACCTTGAAGTGGCAGAAAAACACTAGTGACACAAGCAGAAAGCCATATTGGTGACCCTCGTGTTAGATAAGCACAACAATCTGAGCTTACAATTCACAAAGGCTCGCCACAATTGGAATATAGAAGACTGGGGAAAAAAGCAGTCTGGTCTGATGCGTTACAATGCTGCAACATTTGGATGGTACTGGGGTAGAATTTGGTGTAAGGGATTTGGTGGGCTTTAATTATTCAATTTTTGACATGCTTGGGACTTCTTAGTACCAACTAATCATCATTTAAAGGCCAAAGCCAGTATTGTTGCTGACCATGCCCATTCCTTTATGACCCCCGAGCTATTCCCAGCAGAATAATGAAAGACTCAAACTAGTATCTTAAATGTGACAAGAATTATACTCAAATTGACTCCAAGTGCATTGGGATATGAGGAACCAGAGATTCACATCATGGATGTTCAGCCAACAAATCTGATCCCATCATGTCAATATAGACCAATATGTCCAAGCGTATGTTTCTGCATTTTTGCCATCTTGTTGAATTCATTCATGTTCTGCCCACAAAAGTTAAACTCATATTCATATGTTACTACTGGGTCTGTCAGATAACAAGGGACAGTTGTGGTCTGATGCCTATTGAGTTGGACTAACCCAGTGCTGGTTTGATTTCTGGTCATTGAAGGAATTGAAAGTGGGGGGAGAAAATTAACTGCACTGTGTCCATATTTGATACCCAGCTGAGGCGCCCTTGAGCAAGGCACCTTCCTTGGCCGCTGGAAGCAATAGATGCCCGCTGCTCCAGGTGTATGCCAATTTCCAATTCCTTTTCGAATGAGGCTCACTTTACTAACTCTATAACATCTTCAAATCTGTCTCTAAAATGATGACCTTCTCACTTGCTTTTTTTTTTTTTTTTATCCCACAACTAGTCACTCCACATGAGAATATTTAATGTGTCATGGGTCACAAGAAGTCACAAATAAGTGTAGTCCTAACCCTTAATTCAGAGTGTACCGGTCAATATGAATGCAATGCAATGACCAACAAAGGATGTCAGTTAAGGATCATGCTTTACCTGGGCAAATCATGTTAATCAGACTTTAAATCAGATGTTATTACACAGACGCATAAGCATTGCGAAGCAATTACACCATATGACCCCAAACTGATTTTCCAGAGAGCCAAACCCACATACACATCAAAAGCTTTCAGTTGCTAAAAGAATGAAGAGACGACCATTTACAACTTCAAGTAAAAGATTATCACATCAAACTTATGGTAATTCCATCAGTTATGCAAATGCAGACCCAAATCTCTAGGGCCGTTTCAACTTTCAGGAAATCAAAAGCCTCAGACAAAGTATACTTCATTCTTATTACTCAGTCCAATTCCTGATATGATCTTATCGCCTGTTTTCAGAGGGTGAATATTGTTGTAATATCCATTTGGGAAAATCAATAGAGATAGACATGTTTATATATATATATATATATATATATATATATATATATATATATATATATATATATATATATATATATATATATATATATATATACAACCTAAACGCACACTTGTGGCCAATCATTCTTACAATATGAAGAATTTCAGTTTATTTCCTCCTTTCTCACGCACACACAGTTAAACTTCATTATTCCTGCAGTCAGTACTGCTTGCATCTTTCCTCATGTAACATCAAACCCTGAAGACATTTCATTACATGCAGAAAACCCTCCTCCCTCCACTCCATAATCCAATCACAGCGCTGCTAATGCACATCTCTAATGCAATCAGCCAATCACAGCATCCACGGCGGCCTCGCTGGTCACATGACACCCCGGCCCAGGCCTGTGCGAAGAACCATGTCAGGCTAATGTTATTTTAATGCATTTCTTAATGCAATTTAGCATTAGCCGTGCAACCTCCCTCCTCCCGACTCCGATTCTGCCCCACTGGACACCACAAATCAATTTCTGACATTTCTAAAGAGACGATGATCCCTGTGTTGGCACTGAGGAAGAGGGATAATGACAGCCTAATGCGATTTGAGAGCGCAGGCCAGTCCTGAAACAGGCTGGCCTCCCTTCACTTCCCCTTTACCAACATGCATTACTATTGGGGCTAATAGGCCACATTAAGACATATGGAGCCAAAATGTCCTGTAATTGTAGAGCTCTTCAGTTACATGTTTCCAGCTTTCCAGCAGCCTAATGGCCAAGACTTCACATTCATGACAAGACTTTGCAGAAGTTTGTCGCAAAAGATAAAGGAAACAACTGTGGGAGAAACTGAACAAAAAGGAAAATCGGTTCTTTTCTTTTACCTACCTTTGTGCTCATCAGAAGACAGCAAAGTTATGGTTTAGAGACATAACCAGGGTTGAAATTTATTTTAAGATATTATAATACCAAATACCTATTTTTTTAAATGTATCAAAATAAACTACAAAATACAGCAGCCAAAACAAGTATCAAAACAAAATACTGTATTTTTGTATATTGAAAATACAACAAAATACTTTTACAAGAGAGGATGAAATGTCTTCCATCCATAGGCCTATTCGACCAGTCAGTTTTTTCACTATTAAACTGACTCAGTAAACACTCTTTGATAGCAGCTTTTCTCTGAGCAAGTTTAAGTCAGCTTCTCTGCCACCTCATTCACCTCTACTTCTCTACATGAGTAGGTGTTCATAAAAAATGTAACTATAATATAACTATAATTTAACTGTTTCACTATACTGACATTTTATATATGATTGTTGACTCTCTAAAATACCTCTGCCATTTGTCTGTTATTTTCTTTGTATGTGATGCATAATGCCCATTCATACTACATGGACTGAGCACCTTCTTCAGCTGACCTTAATGTTAATGCGGCAGAGCGCTCGTTTTTGTGATTGTTTTAGAACTTTCGATTCAGTTGCCTATGGAAAAAATGACAAGGAATAATAAACCGCACAAAACGGTCAAACTACTTGCTCCACAAACAAGTGTTAGAAGAAGAAAATATCAGTTTCAAGCAGCGTAACAAGCTGTTTTTAACCTCTAAAAATGAATAGAAGTGAATGGGACCGGAAGTCTCAAGATGCAAACGCTCGTACACGAAGAATAAGGTGAATATTAACTAATTTTCTGTTCTGATCTCAAGCCTTGGCAAATAACTGAGAGAGTACCTATCAGAGGCTGCATATTTATGATGTCATCCTTTGGATTTCTTGCAAAATATTTTACAGTGTTTTGAAACTACAAAAATGCAAGACACAAAAGTGTTTTGATATAAAATATTAAGACATTTTCGTAAACCCTATCAAATACAAATTACAAAATACTATTTTGCATTTGAAATACATGTACCCTAAATACTTCTCATCCCTGGACATAACTTAAATAACAACAGATTTATAAATTATTTATTAAAACTTATAAAGGCACTACTTCCAGTTCTATGTTCAACTGAAAACTGAAATGCTAGAACGTTGATGCTATAAATAAAAAGGCAATTGTGAAATGCAATGAAATGTAATAAAAATATAAATAAAAACAACTCAAAAATTACTAATAAATGACCTATATAATAAAAATAACCTGTTGCACAAAAATCACATACAGTGGACCCGCATTGCTTACAAAATAATGAATAACAAAATATAATGTGGAATATGGAATCAACTCACTTGAACTTGGCGTTGACCTCATCTGCTGCCTTGTGATAGTTCTCATTGGTTACTTTGTAGAACTGGGAACTCTAAAGCATAGGAAAGAGGAAAAAGATACATCAAAATAAAGGTTGCACGCTTGCACTATAGCCACTTTCTTAATCACTCCATGTCACTTGGAAACATTGTGCATTTTAAATTGTGCTTCATACAGGTGAGTGAGCTTGACAAACCACCTGTAGAAACACTCTTCTCTCTTATGCACCTGACACTTTATCTAAACTCCTTCTTACAAGAACTCAATAATGAAACAATGTTTACTATAAATGTCCCACAATCATGTTGCACTGCTTGCTTCAACCTTAAATAACTCTTGCACGATATTCACCTTTAATACCTCTCTTGCACAATATCCTGCACAACATTGTTCAGCCTCATGTAAACATACTTATATATATATATATATATATATATATATATATATATATATATATATATATATATATATATATATATAATTTATTTATTTTTTTTACATAGCTCTTATGTCCATTGTTGTGTTGTATTTATGATTAATTATCTAGCACTGTTGTCCTGCAAGAAACAACATTTCATTCTTCTGTACGTCCACACATGTATCGGGATGGCAATAAAGCTCGACTTGACTTGATATTCCAGTATACACATAACAAAGAAGACCATTTACAGCATAAGAAGCTTCCATTAAAACAAACGTTCAAAGCGAAATTGGATAAAGGTACTGTAGGAAATCAAAGAAAAAAGTGTCAACACAGATGAAAAGGTCATCTCACTAACAGATGATAGCAATCTAAAACCTTATGAGGATCTTAGTGAAGTGTGTCATGTGTAGGTGGAGGACAAAACGAATGTCCGCACAACCCGGAATAGACCTTGATAAAGCGTTCGGGTCGACGATTCCATGGAATAACTGACATTTCAAAGAAAACGAGCAAAATGTCAGATGGACGAGTGAATTTGAAGATGTGACAACACAAACTTGCTCAAGCTACCTACATAAAGAGAGCTCTCAATCACAGCGAGACAGGTTCATCTCACATTCACCCTCTCTCTTACACACACAATCAATACAAATGAAAGACAACAACCATGAGGATCAATAAATATATCTTGGGCTTTTAGTGAAGCTACTGTATAGCTTCTGATGGACTGCACGTCAAGTAGAAATCATTTGTCTAGTAGCTTTTAGAGTTGCCAGACAGCAAAAACCAGCTTCCTGCCAAACATACCAGTAGATGGTAGAAAGGCTATTTACATACAATCAATAATATATATATATATATATATATATATATATATATATATATATATATATATATATATATATATATATATATATATATATATATATATATATATATATATATATATATATATATATAATTTATTTATTTATTTATTTATAACTAAATTATTTTACTTATATCAAACATATACACAGAAAACAGATATAAATTGTTATTTACACTGTAAATAATATCTGTTAATAAACAGTTTCCGTATTTTGCAGTTCACAAGTGAGTCCTTGAGTCCTTGATCTCTGCTCTCTGAAAATTCAAATTGACTTGTATTGACATTTTAGTAGTTTAAAAGAGTGTATAAGTAATAATATAGAGATAAATGAATTAGCAAAATAACAGAAAATGTCCTGGCAGTTTATGACAAGGTTTTGTACAATACTATATAACACCAGCCCAGACCCATCCATTTTTCCAATCCATTACTTTAAATATATCACTTTAAACTAGATATATCGGCGGCCATATCAATATGGGCCAATAAAAATTAGGCTGATATCTTTAAGCCGATAGATTACATAACTGTACAGAACTGCCTGCCTCACCCATGCGTAGGTCGAACTTGTTCAGACTTGTCTAGGGTACTATAACAGAGCTTTCCTCACATTGTTTATTCCTTTAAAGTCCTTCCTTTTTTGTGTGGTATTGCTGTGCGTTAATAACTCAGTGAGTTATCATTGTAGATATGTTTGATAGAGTGTCATTGGCTATGTTTCCATCCAAAAATGGGAATTAACTTTAAGGGCAAAACTGGATTATCGCATAAAAGATGTGCGAATAAAGCAGCGTTTCTAACCAACGAGTCAAAGCGAACAAAATTGTCACTTCCTGATTAACTGGCGCCAAATATTAAAAGTAAAAACAGAATTTGCAGCAGTAGGAGAAGCTGCGTCAATCTTTTCTTTATCTAATAAATTACTTGAGCCTCAGAAGTCAATCCTGACACGCAGTGAGCAGACGCCTTGATTCTGGAGGTCAATAATAATAGAATAACACTAATACATAAACGGTAAGGCATTTTGCCGGTTCATTCTGCTGTGGCGACCCCAGATTAATAAAGGGACTAAGATGAAAAGAAAATGAATAAATTAAATTAAAGCCATTGCTATTGATTTTATTTACTGCTAAGACAGAATTTTCCCATTTGGCCCTTGGTGTAAATTTGGATTCTATGTGTTTCTGTTACAATGCGAGATGTAGGTTTATTTTGCACAGTTGAAAGGCCCCAAAATAATGTTTTATTTCCCCCCAGAGTGGATGTTGACAAACCTGTCATCAAGCCTATTACAGAGTTGAGAGTTAAAGCCAGTATCGGGTATGAACTTGACTCTGAGCGGCCTGTTGTGCAGAAGCAGTGATTTTAAGAGCATGTTGTGATGCTGCTGATCGGATAGGTGGAGTCAACGCTAATCAGGGCCACACAGTGAAAGACTCTTGGCCTGCATAGAAACTGATTACATGCAAAGTAAGTCGGACATCCAAACACGCGTGGTCAAAAACTCCATGAGTTAAGCAGCGGTGTAATTTGGGAGGTCTGCCATTTCCCTTGATTAATAAGAGACCGGGATAAGACTGCTGATTTTGATTTCGGAGTTGGGCCACACTGATTTAGAGGCCCTTTCATCAATCTTAGAGTGCAGGTTTACCACCCACATGCTGTTTCGTGAAACCATAAGCCATCAAATTCATTCGACAAGAAACGAGTTTACAAATTTTCAATATTTGAGTAATTATTTTCAAAAAAGGTTTTATACTGTAGGTTTATATTTTTATTAAATAATTTAACAAATGTATGAATCTTTTTTTTAAATATGATGGCTTTGATACTTGAAAAAATAAAGGCATATTAGGGTTTTGGGACATTTTAAAACATTTTAAAACATGTATCAACTAAACTAAGCTTTGAGCTTCGTCACAAAAATGTCAGATTTCTTATATTTTAGTTGATATCTCAGAGCCAGTCATCAGGTACTGCACAAGTATACGATAAGTAAAACCCCATCTAAAGTAGGGCTACGCAATATATCACTTGAGCATCGATATTCCAATGTGTGCGTCAACAACAGAACAGGATATGCAATGTTTAGTTGGGATTATAGATGACCAGAAACCACATGTGAAAACACATGATTTGTGGAGACGCTGCAGAATTGAACCAAAATAGAGTGAACGTTTATCATCTGCATGTGTTTTTTTAAGGCCTGTGACTGTGAGCATTTTAAGAGAGTTTAAAGATTTTTTGTAGTGCAAGGAAGTTTAATAAAGAGTTATTTATATGATAAGGACTATGCAGTGTTCTTTTACTATGCACTGTAAAATATGTTATTTTAAAATGTCTTAGACATTATATTACATTTTAGGAAACTTTTCTAATATTTTGGAACAGTGAACATGTCGGGATACATAATTAAAATAAACCATCGACTTCCACTGTCTTCAAAAACACAGATTTCCTTGCAACACATAAAAACACTTCTCTACATATACCTTAGAAATGGTATAACAAAACATGTTTGCGGTTTTATTAACTTGACGTTTCCAAACAGCGGTAAACCTTGAAACTGGGTATCATCCCATATCCATATCTGGAGTTACTTTCTCCAAAAAAAGAAAAAAAAAAACAATTTATTTCACTGTAATACTTGCACTTGTGTTTATTTATGACTGTAGTTTGTTTGTAATATGTATATTACTTGAATGATCCATCCATCCATCCAATAGAAAATACCCGTTCCACACAGGAGCTCTCAAACTCCTTTCTCACCTTCTGTTTACAGGCTTCTTAAAATAAAAGCTTAATCTGGCGCTCACAGGGGTGTTATGAACTAATGAAAGAATCTCCTAAAAGCTACTCGTGCCACTGACAGTGCATATAGGTGGTGTTTTGGGAAACAGCCCCACGTTCAAATTAAATCTCACAGGCTTTATAATGAGAGATCTGAGCAACGGCGCAGTAATCAGCAGGCTGTGTTATCTCTCACAGACCAGAGAAGATGTGGAGGGAAACCCCCGCTGAGTCGGCCATTATGGCTCAACAGCATGGCGGCCATATTGGCTCCGTAGTGCACCGGCAGAGGCGCGAGACCGAGCTTTAACAAATCAAAGCTGGCGACTGCAAACAGCGAAGAAAAGCAGGGTAGAGGCCTGTGGATTCAATCCTTTCATCATTGCCTCTTACTGCGGGAGACTGCGCGACAAAACAGAGCAGCTTAAATGTCCCAAACAAACACAAATGCTGCAACTCTGTGCAAATAATTATACAATAAACATATTCAGAACAACATATTGGTGACATTTTACAACGTTTGGAATGACTTTATAATGCGAAAACTATGACAAAAAATTATTCATATCTTTAGCTGTAAAGGAAAACAAGGGGACATGACTAGGAGTGCAAAACTCAAGCTGTGCCTCTTGTCTAGATAAAACTCGGCTAATTAAATTAACGAAGCCTCATGCGGAGACAGACGCTGTCCCTTTTCCAGTGTCTCGTCTGCAGGGAGGGAAAAGATAATGACCACACACTGATCTCGAATAAAACAACTAACTCTCTTCTCTTAACAATGCCGTCAGCAAGAACGAGCAACAGGAAGAGAGAGAGAGAGAGCTTAACATGCGTTGAAGAGCGATTTACATTCAAATGCATCTGTAGCATCACTACAGGTTACTACGAGAACATCCTATAGTGTTGCTAGGTAACAGCCCCTGGAAGTCTGAATCAAAGCTTTGAATGGAGAGTTGTAAACATGTAA